ACTTCTTGTTACACAGGGTGTCCCAAAATTATGGTAAATCGGGAAAAATCCTCCGGGAGAGATCCCTGAGTTTATTTGAAGCAACTTTTTCCTTTACAAAAATCTTCTCCGAGGCACCGTTAACGAGTTATTAACAAAAAGACACTGACCAATGAGGGGCGAGTTCGCTCGGTCGCCTAGCGCTAGGCGACTCAGGAATCCCTCGGAAATAAATGTTAGGACACCCTGTAGAAATGTTTATCACGAAAAACAAGAAAAAGGAGGTGCTCGACTAATTTTTGACAAGTTTATATAGAAGCCACCCGATAACTGAATAAATAAATAAATACTTTAAAACACCGTTTTTCGCGACACCGAAGATGCCCGAGAATGGCTTGAAAAATTCTCCGTAAATTCTCGCTGCGTCGATCGTGCAATTAACGAAGCCAAGACAAGATAGTTAAAACTTATCATAGTAATCAATTAGTCTATTTTGCATTTTTTAAGTCCTAATGTTAAATTAAATTTGTTACACATACGTCGCAGTAACAACGAATCTCAAGATCTGATTAAAAAATAATCTCGTACTCTGTATCGGCTCGTTCGCGGATCCCTAAATTAATATTTTTGTTTAATCTTAGAATATTCTTCGCGCTAAAAATATTTTTGTCGAAAAAGTATTAAGAGTGGGGCGGGGAGGGGGGTATTCAGCTGAAAATAAAACTTTGAAAAAATATATTTCTGTAGCTATTTTTTTACGCAGAATCGAATTACGTACAAAATAATTTTCCAACTTCTATTTTTCAGTAAGAAAACAAATTATTCTTTTTAGGGGAGGGAGGGGGAAGTAATTGGATCGCAATATCCACGTGCACAAATCATAGTAAAAATCTCAGTTTGCAAACTTCATTTTTCTTTTCGAGTTATTTTGTTTTCAACAGCAATTAACTGCACACTATAGCTGTGAACAGGGTGTCGCTTTTATTCTGCACATTCGAATGTCTATTTAAATGCTAAGCATTCAATTGTTGGCAGTTAAATTATATAATAATGCTAATAATAATCTGAGAGCCTTTTCGTAATATTTATATATATTATATTATATTATATTATATTATATATATTATTATATTATTATTATATATACATATAAATATTACGAAAAAGATCTCAGATTACGATTAGTACGGTTTATTCTATTTTGTTTCGTAACTGAGATCGTGATCTTAGACTAGCCGTGATGGGATTTTGATTTACCGTTGGGGCTGCATAATAGTGAAATCCTATGATTTCACAATTTCACAAATTTGGTTTGTCTACACGCGATCCGAAAAGATTCTTCCACCGACGGAATCTCCGTTCGTGTAACTCTTCAACATTCGTGTAATATTCAACGTTCGCGCACACTTTCAGGAACCAATTGTGTGCGAAAGTCCGAGGGCAACACTGTATTGCGAAAACGGCGGCCAGAAATCGCGCTATCGAGCGGTAATCGAGCAATAGAAATGCAAATACCGGGGCCGCGGACGCTGGAATCGCGGTCGCGCCACTTCTGTCGCGCGTTTTCGAGAGATGTTCTGCATAAATAAACAATCTACGAATTACATCTGTTGGGAATATCGATCGGCAGAACTGGTTTTCGGCGAATCGTTTCTATTAATATCGCATGATCGCGATGCAGGATCGAGTGATGAACGTGTATATAGTATACACGTATACATATATACGTGTATATAGTATACACTAACGCCCAGATTGTTACAAAAAATGGACAATTTGGGGAAAGTGGATACGATTACTCCAGCCTTACGGCGCGCTTTTTATTAGTTACGAAATGCCAACGAATATAAAAAAGAGAGGCGAGATTCGAATAATTGTAGTTTCTCTTTCGAAATTGTCCATTTTTGCGCGCAATCTGAGCGTCAATTAGGGAGACATTACTGTAGATTGCATTGTCGTTCTTTTGTTAAGGTTAAAATATGAAATCTTATTCCTGATTCATTCTATTGGGTTGGCAAGAAAGAAATTTCGGTTCGCGCCAATAGATAGCGTTATGCTTGCAACGACATTCTTTCCTTAAGGTTATAATTTTCTTGTCTTCAGTTTTGGCAGTTGACACGTTTAGCTTACTATAGAAACAAATTCCGTGCAGTTTTGTTTACAAGTGATTTTCTGTCAAGTTTTCTGTCAATTTTAACACGGAGCGTATAAATGAACATTTTCCAGAAATTTTACAAGACGACAAAAGGTTATCTAACAGAATGGAAAATATTTGACCGATTAAAGTTCATTTCTTGTGTAGAAAAAATTGAGTTTCGTTTCACATTGAAACGCCGAAATTACTTTCCTGCCAATTCAATACATAAAACCGAGTCTGACGAGACACTGTAGCACTGCAAAATCCAAATTCATTTCGCGAATTATTTACGTAACTTGTGCATCGCTTTGAAACGCGTGAACAATGTGCGAACAGTGCCACGATTTGGCAAACAGATGCGTCATAATTTATTTCGCGTCGAAGAGTTTGCAAATGGTCTAACAGGATAAGCATGAAGAATCTTTATCATCCGTGCCATTTCGAACGTTTTTTTTGTTAGTGCGTTAAACGCTGTTCTTCGCGATTCGAAACGTCAAGATCGGTAACATATATAAAAATAACGGAGATCCGAGAGTTTCAATAAATTTTAAAAATTACGAAACCATGTTCCATCGATTACATCATCTCGAAACCTTCGTGAACAATAAACAAATGCCAGAACATCGTTCCAAATTGTTTAAACAATGGGTTGCTCGTGAAAATCTCCCTTGAAAAATGAATTACGTTTTTTAGCCCTTGGTAATCGATTGAAAATTCTGAAAAAGTATCCTAAAGGAAGCTAATTTGCAGCTTCGTCTTCGCTTCTCTATTTCGTCTAAATTATCTTATGTAATAACTAGACCGCGGAGTTTTACGTAAAATAAAAACAGTTCGCATTAATCGATAGCAATCGATAGTAACGCAGTAGTCTTTTTAAACTCTTCAAATGTTTTCACAGTTTCGCATTTCATCTTCCGATTTTTTCCCAGAAACGCATAAAATCCGCGGTCCAGCAATCACCGAGAAAATAAAAGATAAAGTTTTTGTCTTTCCATCCCCGTATCACACGTAAACGAATGCCTGGAGCTTTGACAATGTACACAGTTGTATT